AATTGTATACCTACTTTAAGAATTGTGTAATTTTCAAGTTATTCTTTTTTGGTTCAATATACATTCTACTTTGGTTCAATACACATTCTGTAAGCCTTTCACCCAGCAGGATACTCTACAGAATAAGTCACTTTTAAGACAGAGGTATCAGTAATTACTCAATTTAGATAATAAACTTTGTTGAAACATGGCAGAATGATTAAATATAAATTTACCATATACCCAGTTTTAACCTCACCATGCATGTAATATTCTGAAAAATGCTCAATATTTAACTCATATTACAGTATACTATTGGTGTATGTTTTCTCCAGGCCCATCCACAGAGGGTGAACAGAGAGAGCAGAAAGCACTGTAGTTACAGGTAGTGTTATCAGTGAATCCTCTGGATACCACCCCAGCTGACAGTCGTTTGCAGCATGGGGTCACCCCCTTTGGCCTCTATTTTGTGTTCTAGCAAGCAATTTGGACTGAAAATGGCTACAAAAGATGAACATATGGCAGTGTTGGATCTGCTACAAATTAACAAGGACAATGTTATTCTGGGAAACAGTTATGGCAGCTGGAATGTTCTGTCAAAGAAAGTCATGGAAGCAGCAGGAAATAAGACTGGTAATATTTCTATTTACCCCAGACAGCTTGGCCAACCTAGGACAAATGTTTGACTAGCAGGTAGTGGGATACAGTTATCCTCCCTTATGCATGGTTTCTTGCCCTGGTTTTAGCTACCCACAGTCAACCATGGTCCAAAATACTGAACTGAAAATTCGGAAATAAAGTATTCATAAGTTTTAAATTGTGTGCTGTTCTGCGCAGTGTGATAAAATCTCAGGCCTTCCCACCCAGTCCCACCCAGGACATGATTTGTTCCTCTGTCCAGCTCTCCACCTGGGGTAGTCACTTAGCTGTCAGATTTATCAGATGGACTGTTGAGGTATCACAGTTCAAGTCACCCTTATTTTACTCAATAGCCCCAAAGCCATTTATGAAACTTTTATTATAGTATTTTGTTAACTATTTTATTATTAGTCATTGCTGTTAATCTCTTACTGTGCCAAATTTATAGATTTAGCTTTATCACAGGTGTGTATATGTAGAATGCATACTACACAGAGGGTTTGGTATTATCCATGATTTCAGACATTCACTGGGGGTCTTGGAATGTGTCTCTGCAAATAAGTGAGGACAAGTGTATTAGAAAAACAAACACAATGAAGAGTGAGAGCTGGACATCAGAATGTAAGAATCATCTGTACATAGAACCTGTGCTGTAACAATAACCCCTCAAGGACTGGATATTAACATGCACATTTCTAAAAGTACATGCTCCATTCTTCCCCTGGGGCATGTCTCTCTGTCCATTAAGTTATAGAAGAAAAGAAAGGGAAGAAAGAAGGAAAATCAAACTTTACCTTTTATTTCCTCAGGCACACATGTAATCTGGAATTCCAATTAGCTTTTACTCATGAGATGATGTTTAAAATCTCATCCACCTTAGAAAATACTTTAGATATTTTAAATCTCAGCCATCTTAGAAAATAGTTTGCAGGAATTCAAACTATTTGCAATTCAGAAGTGCCAAGTTATAATTCAGTTGTGGGGCAAGTAGAACAGTTTATGTTCAGTACTTGAGGTTACTAAAACTTCTGATTTAAATATCCTGTGGGGCAAGTGATTCCTCTGGGGAGAAATTTCCAGCTTAGAGTTGATCTTTAAAAAAAATTATATCCTAAATAGTTTACTGTACAGAAATCAGCAATGTCTAATTTAAACATCAGAGCGTGTTATAGTTGCCATCATTCTGACACAGTGATGGGCGTGGCTGAAACAAAAGCCCATCCCTGAGGTCACACTTTACCCTCTCAGGGGAAAGTCATCTTACAAAGGTTTGCAGCTGGTTACAAAGGCATAAAACAAGATTATGGCTGGCTCTGAAGAAACCCACAATTACTTCTGAAGATAAATTCAAAATACACATTCCAGTGGAAGAGATTTGGTTCTATTATTTTCACAAACCATAAAGTATAGATTTTGAGTCATTTCACAAATCAGATGATCAAATGAAAATAGACATGTAAGCACTTATTAATTCATATACATGTTTGTAAAAGGAGGTGCTATTTAAAAATAATTTACATAACACAATTTGGCACATAAATGAAATGAGTAACAATAAATCAGAAAATGTGTGAGTAACAATAAACCAGAAAATGTGAAAAATGTATGAAACGGCCCAGAGAATTAAAACTAGAACATATTTTCCATCAGATTTAGAAATTAAGTATATTGTATGCTTTTTAAAATGGGCATAAAGCAACTTTATACTGCACTTAAACACTCTGAGAAATCTAAAACATTTTACTTTCTAAATATAAACTGTATGACCAGAGGCAGTATTTGGGCAACATAAAAAAATCATATAGAAACATGTTGCTGCCACAGATCTAGGGTGTAGGGGGCAGGACAACACTTTGTCCTGGTCAGACAACATGTTTGACACCAGCAGCAGGGGTCAACAAGCAAATAGCATCACTGCAATGGAGGATGGAGACAATGACAGAAAACTGGGGGACTTCCAGCCAAGATGGAGGCATAGGTGGAAACACGGTACCTCCTCGCACAACCAAGTTTAAAAACAACAAAGTTTTAGTAAAAAAAAACACAAGCAAAACACAGACAATTGAACTATACAGAAGTCCAGCAACAACAAACCATTCAACCAGACTGATAAACCAGGTGAAGGAGTGAGCAGTGAGACAGACCACATAGGCCCCAACAGCGGGAAGCAGCAGAGGGGACTGCTATTGCCCCTCTTTGACCCCGCCCCCACTACAGCATCACAATCCAGTGACTGAGTTGCCCTGCCCTGGTGAACACCTAGGGCTCTGCCCCTGATAGGTAACAGGCACGAACAGACCAAAACATTATGGCTCAAGAAGAACTCAAAGCCAATAGAACTCAAAGCCAGAGCCAATAACTCTAAGTATCCAAGAAATAGCCAACCTATCAGATGCACAGTTCAAAACACTAGTGATCAGTATGCTCACAGAACTGGCTTTTAGTCACAAATTAGAGGAACAAATGAAGGCTAAACTAATTGAAATGAAGGGAAATGAACAGGAAACCAATAGTGATGGCAAGGAAACTGGGACTCAAATCAAGGGAGTGGACCAGAAGAAAGAAAAAAATGACCAAACAGAAAAGAATGAAGAAACAAGAATTCAAAAAAATGAGGAGAAGCTTAGGAACCTTCAGGACATCTTTAAACGTTCCAACATCCGAATTATAGGGGTACTTGAAGGGGAAGAGGAAGAGCGACAAGTGGAAAACTTATTTGAACAAATAATAAAGGAGAACTTCCCCAATTGGCAAAGGAAATAGACTTCCAGGAAATCCAGGAGGCTCAGAGAGTCCCAAAGAAGTTGGACCCAAGAAGGAACACACCAAGGCACATCATCATTACATTAGCCAAGATTAAAATGAAGGAGAGAATCCTAGAAGCAGCAAAAGATAAGGGGACAGTCACCTACAAAGGAGTTCCCATCAGACTGTCAGCAGATTTCTCAGACCTTATAGGCAAGAAGGGGCTGGAAAGAAGTATTCCAAGTCATGAAATCCAAAGACCTACATCCAAGATTGCTCTATCCAGCAAAACTTTCATTTAGAATGGAAGGACAGATAAAGTGCTTCTTAGATAAGATCAAATTCAAGGAGTTCATTATCACCAAGCCCTTATTATATGAAATGTTAAAGGGACTTATCTAAGAAAAAGAAGATAAAAAAGATGAACAGTGAAAGGACAGCAAACTCACAGTTATTAACAACCACACCTAAAAGAAAAGCAAACTAAGAGGACAGCTAGATCAGGAGCAGAACCATAGAAATGAAGATCACATGGAGGGTTATCAACAGGGGAGTGGGAGGAGGAGAAGGGGAGAGAAGGTACAGAGAATAAGTAGCATAGATGGTAGGTAGAAAATAGATAGTAAGGGAGGGCAAGAATAGTATGAGAAATATAGAATCTAAAGAATTTGAGACACGTGGACACAAACTAAAGGGAGGGAATGGTAGGGGAGGGGGTGTGCAGGGTGGAGGGGAATGAAGGGGGAGAAATAGGACAACTGTAATGGCATAATCAATAAAATATATTTTTAAAAAACTGTGCCTTCATGTTACTATTTCAGAAACAGCAAATCCATACTATTTTAAGTAAAAAATGAAGTGATTTTATTATATAAATGATGATTAACAGAGTACAGAAAATTTACTTATTTTTTTACCTTTACATATTTACTTAAAGTACCAAGCAACAATTGGAAGACTGATTACAAACTACCAAAAGGTATTTATTTGGTGAAATTATTCAAGTTATAAAATGTTAAGTAAATAAATGTACTCTAAAATACATTAAGTGTAACACAAGTATAAAAGTAGTGATCTTAAATTGATGACAAACTAACCAACAAACAAGAAGCATAAGAAAAATTTTTCTAGTTAGATAGAAAAGAGTGAATCAAATGTATTGTTCACTGTAACATAATTTTAAAAGCCAAACAAAGCAAAAGAACTAAAGAAGCAATTAGAAATAAAAAAAATACTCCAATACTATACTTTTTTCTACCAATAAAGAAAGAAGGATTTGGAGGCCAAATTATGTATTGTCAACTCAGATGGTTTGTACTGAGGTCTTCTGAGTATGGACTTAAAGCAATCCTCTCATTGTTACTCAAAGGTAAGAAAACATATGTATTATGAAGGAAAAGAAAAAATTATACCTGCAATAGCACAAAAAACTTACACATTAAAATCAAATGCACTTCAGTGTAAGACTAGACTAATCTGTTTTCAAAGAATTCTTTTGCATTTTAGTAAATCAGGGCAAAGATTTTACCCTAAAAGAAAAGGCAAGTTGGAAGTCTCCAATAAGTTAGAATCTTCTTGCCAAAAATGAGGTACCTTCCAGAAAATTTGCAGTCATATCTATAATCTTGGTTATTAAAAACAAACAAAACACTGAGTCTTTAAAGTCACAATTAAAGTCTATTAAAAATATTAGGTGATAAATGAATACAGATGTCATATGAATCCTGTGACAAATTACTGTATGCTAAACTCATAAGTACTACTAAAAATATAGTTCACATTTCAGAATTCCTGAGTCTTATCAGAGAAAAAAAAGTACTGAAACAAACTAAACAAACCTACTCAACAGTAGGGCAAATACAGATTTTGGATATTAAGTTTACATCATATTAAGATTATAGTTTTAAAGCTGAAGGCAATGGGACAAATATATATGTACTTCAATGAAATGATAAACACAATTTTAAAGCTTGTGTTTCTTAAAGAGTTTATTTATTTATTTTTCTCCTCTAAAGAGAGAGAAGGGAAAGAGAGGGAAAGAAATATCAATATGTGGTTGCCTCTCACGTGCCACCAGCTGGGGGCCTGGCCTGCAACTCGGGTATGTGCCCTGACTGGGAATCGAACTGTGACCCTTTGGTTCACAGGCCTGTGCTCAATGCACTGAGCTACACCAGCTAGGGCTTAAAGCTTGTGTTTTTAAAAAGGCATTTTGATCAAATAAGGCCACCTGAGTGACATCTTCAATGATGGTAAGCTCAACATTTTAAAGAAAGAACATTTTTATTTCAAAGCTTAATGATGAATGTAAAAAGAAAAAGTATATTTTAATGAAATGCTTGAGTAAGACTGCTGTGGGACCTAATGGGCCTGGGTATGTGCAAAAAGAACCATCAAGGCTATCTTTTACCAGCACCAGTCCTTGGGGAAGGGTCAGCTAAAGTTTCAGAACTTCCAGAAACCCCCTTTAGTTGTTAAACTTAATCACTGAGATAACCTCCAGTTGTCCTCCTTAGCACCCTTCACAGGGTGGGGCAGAGTAATTTCTGTGAGCAGAGCTATTGCCTCCCCTCAGGCTGATGCCACTTGGAGGGGAATACTCTGCCTGAGAAAGATGGCTTAAGGAGATGAACCTAAGGAGAGTAAAGTGATGCAACAAGATTAACTTCTCTTGCTTTGCACATTACACAGTGAAAATATAAGGTTTCTTAAGAGCACTTCATTCTTATGTCTAGGATTTTGGCTTGTGTGAAATGGCGTAAATGGCCCTGCAACAATGCAGTGCCTGCAAAAATACATTCAACTCAAAGTTAATGTCTGTTTCTAACTAGGAAAGCACAGGGAAGCAATGTGGTCCCACTTAAAAAAATAAAACAAAACAAAATCTGTTTATCCTTTCTGGAAAAACTACCAAAGCAAAGGGTACCCAATAGTATTGTACATTTAAAACTGCATACTTTTACTGGTCTTTATAAGTAAGAAAGATGCATACAGCTATTCGGGCACTTTATAAATAAAGACTAACCACAAAAATAACTGGGTCACTTCTCTGTTCATAAGTACCCAGAAAGAAAAAATTAAAAATATTAAAGTGCAGACCAATAGGCCTTTATGGGCATAACAATAATAATGGGGTGCAGCCAAAATTGCATCTATCTTCCAAAACAAGCTATGCAATTTAAAAACTAGTCAGTTTTGTTTGTGTTGTAATCGGGTTAGTCCTTGTCTCTGTCTTTGTGAGGAAACTGCACCTTGGACAGCATACCAGGCTCTCAACAACCTTGCACTTCACTAGAGTCACACAACATTGATTCCAGCTCCAGAGAATGTCAGCATCCGCTTGCTGTATGAAGAGCTGCTGGTATCTGGCTGACTGTCTTTTGTAAGTGAGGTTTTCAGTTCCATTTCACAACTTACAATAGCCGCATTCAATTCCATTTGCGCTCGATGGACAACATAAAACATGAGGCCTATACTTATAATAATCTGTAAATAAAATTAAATGACAATTAATATTTTATGCAGAAAAAGGAAATAAATACAATAAATATTTGGCTTAGAAATGCTTTAAACAGGATGCTTCTCAAATATGCTCAGGTGACATTTTTAAATAGTTCAGAGTCACTTATTCTTCTATTGCCTGATTCTACTGGGAGTATGAGCCAGAATCTATAAGTAACCATTATATGTTGTCAGGTAAACACAGGCAGGTATATATCCCTTCTAATCTATGTAAACAAAATGTTTGTTCCATAACAGTCATACCTATCTTGGATCCAAGATGGTAGAAGAATAAGTGGAAGCTGCACAAACCTCTTCCCAGGATCAAAATGAAATTACAACTAATGAATAGATAAAACACCCTAAATAACCAACAGAATACTAGCTGGAGAGAAGCCTAACCAAAGACAGATAGAAGAAACTGCTTGAGTTCAATGTGTCTGGTACAGAGTGTCAAGGAGGCATGAGAGGGCTGGCTGGGATCCCATGGGCAGCAGCTGAAGTTCCAGAGGGATAGTTCAGCACCTGTGAGGGAGGGCATACCCACTGAGAAGTGTGGGGTCTAAACTTCAAGCTGGGCTCTGCAGCCTACAGCACAGAGCTGGAAAGGAACCCAGATAACATACAGTTGTGAAGAACAGCGGGTATTCTTTCTGCCAGGGAGAGATGGCTGGACACACAGAGAGCCTCCTAAAGGGCCAACACAGCCACTGACTCTGGACTTTGGCAGAGGGATGGCACAGAGTGGACAAAAGATGCATGAGGAAAGTCTGGGTCTGGTGTCTCTATGGAGAGACCTGAAGGAAGAGCCATCAGAATTCCTGTGCTCACTCATTACCCATACAACAGAGGCCATCTTTCCCAGGCAGAGTATTCCCCTCCAAGTGGCATCAGCCTGAGGGGAAGCAATAGTTCTGCTCACAGAAATTACTCTGCCCCACCCTGTGAAGCCAAAGTCAGGTTGCTAAGGAGTACAACTGGAGGTTATCTCAGTGATTAAGTTTAACAACTAAAGGGGGTCTCTGGAAGTTCTGAGACTTTAGCTGACCCTTCCCCAAGGACTGGTACTGGTAAAAGCCAGCCTTGATGTACAGCTTTGTTCTTTCTGCACATACCCAGGCTCAGTAGAGGGAGCAAAAAGTTGTATATCGCTGATAGCTCTGACCAGATTACTCAGGGCCAGTCATAAGTAACATGTGACATACGTGTCAACCAGTGTTTGTAGACCTACCTAATATATATAAATAAAAACAAAGAGGCAGCCAAAATGGGAAGACAAAGAAACAGGCCCCAAAAGAAAAAACAAGAGAATCCTTCAGAAAAACTAAATGAAGAGATACAAGCAATTTATCAGATATAGTTTAGAGTAATGATTATGAGATGAACATGAAAAACAACATAGAAATAATAAAAAATGACCGGTCAGAAATAAAGAATATAGTAGATGAAATTAACAATATATTAGAAGGTATAAAATGTAGGATAGATAACACAAAGGATCAAATCAGTGGTTTGGAAGACAAGGTAGGAAAAAAAAAACAAGCAGAGTAGCAAAAAGAAAAGAGAATGAAAAAGAATGAGAACAGCCTAAGAAACATTTTGGACAACATGAAGTGTAACAACATCTACAACATGGAGCTACCAAAAGGAGAAGAGAGTGAGCAAGAGATCAAGAACCTATCTGAAGAAATAATTATCAAAAACTTCCCAAGTCTGGTAAAATAAAAGACACAAAAGTCCAAGATGTGCAGGGAGTCCCAAATAAAATAGAGCCAAAGAGACTTACATCAAGATACATCATAATTTAAATGGCAAAGGTTAAAGACAGGGAGAGAAACCTAAAAGCTGAAAGAGAAAAGCAAGTAGTTACCTCCAAGGGAGCTCCAATTAGACTTTCATCTGATTTCTTAACAGAAACATTTTAGACTTGGGATTGGCATGGAATATTCAAAATGATGAGAAACAAGGACATACAACCAAAGCACTTTACCCTGCAAGGCTATCATTTAAAATTGAAGGAGAAATAAAGAGCTTTCCAGACAAGAAAAAGGCTAAAGGAGTTTGTTAACACCAAAGCAGTACCGTAACAAATGTTAAAGGGCTTCCTTTAAGAAGAGGAAAGAGAAAAAGAGAGGAAAATAGTTTAAAAATAAAATGGCAATAAGTCTGTATCTATCAATAATCACCTGAAAAGTAAATGGCTTAAATGCTACAACCAAAAGATTGAATGGATAAGAAAACAAGACTCATATGTATCTGTCTCCAGGAGACCCACCTCAGATCAAAAGATACTCACAGACTAAAAGTAAAGAGATGAAAAAAGATGATTTCATGCAAATGGAAAGGGAAAAAAGTTGGGTCAGCAATACCTATTTGACAAAAGAGACTTTAAAATCAAGGCAAAACATTTATGCACCTAACACAGGAGCACCTAAATATGTAAAGCAAATCTTGATGGATATAAAAGGAGAGATCAGCAGATATAAGTCATAGTAGGGGACTTAACACCTCATTGATGCCAATGAATAGATCTCTCAGACAAAAAATCAACAAGGAGACAGCGGCCTGATATAACATACTAGAGTAAATGGATTTCATTGATATCTTCAGAGCTTACACCCCCAAACTGCAGAATATACATACTTTTCAAGTGTAGATGGAACATTTTTTAGAATAGACCACATATTAGGACATAAGTCTCAATGAATCTAAGAAGACTGAAATCATATCAAACATTTTCTCTGACCACAATGCTATGAAACTAGTAATCAATCACAAGAACACTGAAAAATATACAAAGACATGGAAGTTAAGTAACATGTTATTAAACAATTAATGAATGGGTCAACAAGATTGGGGATGAAATCAAGATAACTTGAAACAAATGAAAATAACACAAAAACCCAAAATCTGTGGGAAACAGAGAAAGTAGTTCTCAGAGAGAAATTCATAGCACTATAGGCCTCTCTTAAAAAACAAGAAAAAGCACAAATAAACTATCCAATTTTACACTAAAAAGAAATTGGAAAAAAAAAGCCCAAAGTGAAAGGGAAATGATAAAGATCAGATCAGAAATAAACAAGAGTCTAAAAAGATGATACAAAGATCAATCAATCCAATAGCTAGTTTTCTGATAAGATAAAAAAGACTGACAAAACTTTCACCAGACTCATCAAGAAAAAAAGAGAGAGACCCAAATAAATAAAATCAGAATTGAAAGAGGAGAAAATAATTACTGACACCAAGATGGAGGTATAGGTGGGTACACTTTGCCTCCTTGCACAACCAAAAGAAAGACAGCAATGAATTCAAAAACAAAAAAACAACCAGCACTGCCAGAAAATCTAACTATATGGAAGTCTGACATCCAAGGGGTTAAAGAAGAGACATTTACCCTGACTGGTAGGAGGGGTGGAGATGGGCAGCTGGGGCAGAGAAGATGCACAGCAAGGCTGTTGCTAGAGGACTAGGCAGGCAAAGAAGTGGCAGATAGTCCCACATTTGTATGCAGATAAACTGAGGACAACTGGAGAACGAGATAGACTGAGCAACCCAGGGTTCCAGTATGGAAAAAGAAAGCCTCAAAACCTCTGCCTGTAAAAACCTGTAGGTGTTGTGGCAGTGGGAGAAACTTCCAGACTCACAGAAGAGTTTGTAGGAGAGACCCACAGGGTACTAGATACATACACATAAGCCTACCCATCCTGGAATCAGCACCAGAAGGACCCAATTTGCTTGTGAGGGGGAAGTAACTGAAAGCCAGTCAAGAGCCAAGGGAGCAGCATTGCTCCCTCTTTCACCCCTCTGTCACATACGGTGCCACAACACAGTGATGTGGGTTGCCATGCTTCAGTGAATACCTAAGGCTCTGACCCTTACAATGTAACAGGTGTGCAAAGAAAGCATCATGGCCCAAATGAAAGAAGAGAAAAACTCCAAAAATAGAACTGAGCAATGAAGAAATAGTCAATCTATCAGATGCAGAGTCCAAAACACTGGTAATCAGGATGCTCACAGAAATGATTGAGTACAGTCACAAAACAGAGGAAATAGTCAAGGCTATGCAAAGTGAAATAAAGAAAAATGTATAGAGAAACAATAGTTGAAGGGAAGGAAATGTACTCAAATCAATGATCTGAAGCAGAAGGAAGAAATAAACATTCAACCAAACAAAAAGAAGAAACAAGAATTCAGAAACATGAGGAGAGGCTTAGGAACCTCCAGGGCAACTTTAAATGTTTTCAACATCCAAATACTAGGGGTGCCAGAAAGAGAAGAGGAAGACCAAGAAATTGAAAACTTATTTGAAAAAATAATGGAGAACTTCCCTAACTGGCAAAGGAAACAGATTTCTAGGAAGTCCAGGAGGCCCAGAAGGTCCCAAAGAAGTTGGACCCAACAAAGCACACATCAAGACTCATCATAATTACATTAGCCAAGATTAAAGAAAGGAGAGAACCTTAAAAGCAGCAAAAGGGAAGAGTTACCTACAAAGAAGTTCCCATAAGACTATTAGCTGATTTCTCACAAAAAAAAAAAAAAAAAAAACCTCACAGGCAAGAAGGGGCTGGAAAGAAGTATTCAAAGTCATGAATACCTACATCCACAATTAATCTATCCAGCAAAGCTATCCTTTAGAATGGAAGGGCAGATAAAGTGCTTCCCAGATAAGGTCAAGTTGAAGGATATATTCATCACCAAGCCCTTACTGTATGAAATATTAAAGGGACTTATCTAAGAAGAAGAAAAAGATGAAAAATATAAATAGTAAAATGACAATAAACTTACAACTGTCAACAACTGAACCTAAAAACAAACTAAGCAACCAAGTAGAACAGGAACAGAATCACAGTACTGGAGATCACATGGAGTGTTATCAGTGAGGAGGGGGAGTGAGAAGAATGGGGGAAAAAATATAGGGAATAAGAAGCATAAATGGTAGGCAGAAAATAGACAGGGGGAGGTTAAGAACAGTATAGGAAATG